GCTAGACGCGTCCGAGGCGCAGAACACGTAGGCCTAGACGGGGCTGTCAGTCGATTTCTAGAGGAACTAGATCTGTGAATCTTACCCCCTTCAACTCATAAGATTCAGCCATTCTCTTGGCAGGAACCATGTCTAGCCATTTGTCGCGCCAGCCCTGGGGGAAGCTATCCAGGATTTCGGTAGCGATGTATCCAGGCGAGATGCAGTTGACTCTGCAGTAGTCCACCCACTCGACAGACAAGCACTTGGCTAGCTGAACAACTCCCGCCTTAGACGCATTGTACTATGCAAGGATGAGCGACATGAAAGTAACCATTTCCAATAGAGAACGTACCGCCGCTTGCTTTTGTGGAAAATTGACAAGAGTTGCACTGACAGAGGCCGTGAAGATAACATTTCCACGACCCTGTGCCTTGAATATCCGACCAGCAGCTTGGGCAGAGTAGAAAGCACCATCAAGATTGACCTTCATGATCTTGCTCCATTGATCGGAGGTGTAGTCTTCGGCGGGGATGTTCGAGGCAATCCCGGAGTTAACGACCATGATATCAAGTTTCCCGAAATCCTTCGCGATCTGCTGCACAACCGCCTCGATCTCAGATTGGATAGCCACATTGGCTTTATACGCTGCTGCGCGTACGTTGTTAGTAGATCCGATCTCAGCTGCGATCGTGTCGGCGGTATTGGATGTGTGATAGATCAAGGCGACCTTTGCAAATTGTCAGTTTGATTATCCTGTAGCATCAGGTAGTGTGACTTACACTTGCGCCGGCTTCAGCCAATGCCCTCGAGACTTCAAGGCCGATTCCACGAGCGCCTCCTGTGATAGAGTGTTAGCGAGATGCTTTTGAGGATTGGGAGATATCGTACCAGTCACAACTGCGACCTTGCCCGTGAGGTCGAAGGCCTTCATGACATGCTGATTTTGGGGTTGTGCGAGGACCATTTTGTCGTATTTGTCGTCGCTCGCACTCGAGATAATAGTATGAATTCAATCAGAGCTTCAACAGAGAAGGCGAAGTTGGATCCGAGCCATTCCCCCCTCAATCCCCGCATCGGGCCATCTCCGACGTGTTCTCCAATCATCGTGACTCCCTCCTGCGGCTCAGAAAATCGCAAGGCAATTCCTGGTGAAAGCGACGTAACGCTGATGATCCGGGATCACTCTGTTCCATTAAGTGTCCATTGGAGATCGTCAAGTCTTCGGCTGTTGGTTCACTTTCCCGTTGTTTTGATGTGAACCGTTGACACAGCTAGGTGAGGTGGCTGGGTGAGAGGCATCGAGATGTCGGTTCACTTTCTTGAGTCCCTTGAACAACTGCTTGTTTTCTCGGCTGAACTCGTAAGCCCAAAGGAGGGCGAGGGCTTCGTTCTTGGTGTTTTCCATTATGGGGATGAGAGAGGTGGAGAAGGGGAGAAACGTAGAAGGGAAAAGAAATACTATGAATATGGAAACACTCAGCTTCAAATGTGATGTATTTCAGATGTTTACATTATTCTAATGAATTTACTTCAAATACCCAGGGCTTTACTTTTTCTCAACAGGCACTAAACTTCAGTCTGTGTATTTGATCAAATATCGAGACACCGAATATTCCATGCCTGTCCTTTGGTTTCCCCCTTAATCACTCATGATATCGCCCTCTACGGGGCATACGACAGCACTGGGTAATGGAGGATCCCAAACTTTCACAGGCTAAAGTGGAGACAATCGTACTCTTTCCCCGGTGAGGCTCAGAATTTGCCGTTGAAAACTTGGAGTGCAACGCACAATCCCGTATTTACACAATACTGCTCGTCTCATCCTCGGTATTGTTCTTGTCCTTGACATGAGTTCCTTCACTCTTGGTGGGAGCTTCCATTTCGTCAAGCTTCTTCTTCAGACGCGTGTATCTCATCTGAGCGGCATTGTTCTTGATACCAAAGTATTTGGCGACGGCGGGGATGTCAATATGTGAGATGATGTTAGCATGATGGGTTAAATTCAAAGCCGAGGAGACGACGTTAATCCGAGACCTTGTGGCAGGCCCACAGGAACAAGAGCTGCTTTTCCACATCGGACTCTCTTGGTTCCTTTGACTTGGAGGGGCTTTTGCCAGCGTTCGGTTAGGTTGGAGCCATTTTTCTTTGGAGAATGAAGGTGTAATGATCAACAAGATCTTTGAATGTGATAAGCGAAGCTGTTGAAACAGAAATGACAGTGAAGCCGAGAGAGGAGAAGGAAAGAGAGAGAGAGAGATCGAGGTCGAGGCCGAGGTCGAGGTTCTATAGTGGCAGTTGACAAACAATCATGTCTTTCTTTACACACATTCAATTCAATGGAATATTTGATCCTCTATATATTTTAATCTATTTAATCTATCGAAATTGGGGTATATGACCATAATCAAAACAAAATTCCTAGAAGTGCTCGAAGAACCACCCTTTCTCTTCACTCGAGGTTCTTAACTGGATGTAGAAAGATAGGAGGAAGACAGAGTCGAGGGTTTTCCTTCTCCCACTGCACAGTATTAGCACCACAATATGTCAACCAGAGCAAGAACTCACCTCTTTGGCGCCATCATAGCCTAACCAGGCTCTGTATAGTTTCTCCGCGAATTCGGAGTTAAACATAAACGTTGTGTTGTACATAATATCATCATGTTGACCCCAGCTCCAGATGCTGTCGAACCCAGCGTTGACCTTGCCAGGTTCACCCGGGTTGGCGCGGCGGTCCAATTCCTCGGGGTCCCATTTGGCATCATGGTACACTGGCTGAGGTATCTGAACGGCCTTTAGGCCATAGTACAGAGCCCAGGATATAGGGGACATCTCGGATGCGAGACCGACCCCGGATTTCACATTGTCCTTATGCAACAGGCTGAGAAGTCGCGCTGAGATGCGAGACATTGCCACGACAGCTGCCCAGCGTGGAGTCTCTTGATCTTGAGGGAAATTGAAGACACGGTCACGGAAAGGCCAGTCTGTACCAACTGGATTGAAATGGGGCAGCCAGGTGATTAGATCGGCTTCTTCACCGACACCCCAGCTCCCTGGTTCATCCTCTGGGCGTGGAAAAGGGGGGATAATGGCTTGACCTTCGATGTCGATGCCTTCTGCGGGACGAGGGCCCCAAACACTGCTGTTGTCATGGAAAGGCATTTCCTGGTCCACCTTCTTGATGAACTCTTCCCAGGTGCCATGAACAGCAGGAATATAGAAGTGAGAGTTACGCTCCCACAGATACTTGCGTGGCTGCTGTTTCGCAAACTTCGTCGCCTTGTGCAAAAGGTCGTACATATGGCCGGTATATCGCGAGTCCATCTCAAACTGCCAGACGTAGTCGTACTGAGGGTGTAGTCGTGAAAAAATTTGCGTGGGCTGAAAATACTGTAATATCGCTCTAATAGAATGTCAGCAGGGCATGTCTAGCTCTCAGGGCGAACACATACACATGAACATCGATCCCAGGATACCAATCCTTCAACATATCCGCGTTAAACCATACCGCCAGGCTGCGCAGCTCCTGTGGCAAGTGCTTTGCATTGAATGCCTTCCAGGCGGCGTGGTCATTCCTTTTGGGCAATTTCTTGCCCTGGGAGTCAATCAGAAGAATGAGCTCATATTCTGCACCCGAATAGAGTGACAACTCCATCAGCATAGATCGAATGTGATACAAGTCATTCTCGGTGTACTTCATTCCGATCCAAGAACGTAGTATAACGGCTGTCCGGGGCTGGGTGTCTGTCTTGTCCAAGGGCTCGCGAGGCTGCACATCCGAATTCAGTGACTTGTACAGAGCGGATATCTTCTCTTCCGATGGTTGCGTGCAATATCGAACGCTATTGCGCTGCAGACACTCATATTGCAAACGGGCCCAGTCCACCTGTTCCCAGTCTATTTCGGCGGCCTCGTTGGAACCAAATGTACCATTCCAATTATGGAGAGTGGTTTCGTTGCCCTCAATATAGCCATATGCACCATATCGGGAGTAGCGATCAGCGCAGAGACTCTTGTTCAAATTCCACGACTCATACGATCCAAAAATGGGAGTTGGAAAATCTAGTCTCTGGTGATTAGTTCCCCGTCGACTCCTAAAATATTCCTCTTCGCACCTGAAGTATTCCAGCGAAACCCACTCATCATCATATCTTCATCTTTGCGGCTCAGTAGTCGCCCTTGGGGTCCAATGCATGGCTGGTAAGAACTGTTTGACTTCGATTTCCATTCTAGACCGTCATAGTCTGGATAGGGGTCATTGATCACCTGAGATGAAATTCGAGGTTGACCGGCGTAATCACTCGGGAATGAGTCAACCGATTGTTCTGCAGGGCTGATACAGATCAGAATTGACCAATAAGGGGAAGGAAGAAAGGAACCTGCAATTACTTTGACAGCTTCACTCGCAATGGGACTACTAGAGCTTTCCTGGAATAAGGAATAGTCATAAACAACACCAGGCACAGGGCGACCCCAAAGCGCCTTGGAGAACGGAAAATCCTCGCGAGGAAGAAATCCATTAGAATGAAATCCAAACATCAAATTTGGGAGCCTTGTAAGTTTTATAAAGAACTATCGCTAGTGGCTTGGCTTGGGTTCGTGTGTGCGGCCAATCGTAGAGAGAGAACAATGCATGGAGACTGCCCAGCCGGGATGAACAGTAAAGAAAGAATATTAGCTAGGTAACTAACTAGTTAGTTAACTGAATAACTATGATTCCTTTGAGTCCGTTGGAATGCAGTTTTTTTAGGCTTGTTGGTATTAACTAATTGTTTTCTTATCCGGATCCTCCGGGATCTGCTGTTTATCTTTTGTGATCTTTTTAGCCCTACTTTTTATAGGGAATCCAAAACGCCAGAATATGCACTCGTCTTGATAGGGATATCACTATGTACTCAAATACTAAGTCAACAAGACCGGATGCAAAACAACTCCAATACCAGCCCAATTTGATATGGAAAATGCATATATCAAACAGGCATTCCAATATGGTTACACGTATCTCTTAAGACGGGATCTCACTAGTCAGTCGCAGTTCGTCGACCCCATCCACTGAAGAATCCCCCACCGCCAGTGTTGCTGGGCGGTGTGCCAAGTGTCTTCGGGGCTTCGATGGGAGATTTATTGGCCAAGCTCATCCGCGACTGCGAAAGTCCAACAAAGGAATGGCGGTTTTCAGGATTGGCCTGGGAGGACTTGATCATTTTCCGGAATGAATCCAATTTGCCCTTTACTTCCTCAAGCTCTTGCCTAGCGACCGCCTCTGCCGTCTTAGCAGTAACCAACTCCATGAGCAACGCCTCTTCGGCGGCAGGTTTGTTACCCTCCGTCGACAAAACACTCTGCAGACCCAGGCTGCTTGTCCGCTTGTTATATGTGGGGCTTTTTGTGGAATTGGCGCGGGCTAGCTTGAACTCGCGCAATCCACTAGTGGGTGATTGAGACTCGCCAGAGTCTGCCGCGGAAGATGTCGTGTCCAGCGGTGTTTCGGATATAGGAGTTTTGAGGGTACGCAGCTCTCGGTTCATGCGCTCGAGTCGCTGTCGTTCCCGATAACCGTCTTGAATTCGACCCCGGGCTTCCCGTAATTGCTCCTTGAGGGACGAATTCTCCTGTTCAAAATCGTCGATGCGCCGTGTGAGGTTCAAGCAACGACCGGCTTCCACCTCATGCATTTCCTTCCATCGAGTAACATCGTCATTGAGCTGAAGCTTGGTTTGGGTGATTGAAATACGCTTCGGGTTAACCGATTCAAAACGTGACTGGGCTTTGGCTATTAATTCGGCCGGTTGTGTCTCAGTTGGCTGTTCCCTGATTTGGTTCAACATCTCCTTGGCTAGGGTATGGTCCTCTTCCCGCTCCTCTCTCTCCTGCTGCAGTTCACGTGTGAGGTTAGCTTGTTGGCGCTGAAGATCGCTGAGCGCCATCAAGAGTTCTTCAATCTGGGTATGGAGGTCACGGTCTTTGTGATGTGAAGACATGTTGGATTTCACGCGCGATTTTTGACTGTCAACGCTAGCTGCTGCTGTTGATAGTTCAGTAGCAGCAGTACTTGCATCGGACGTGGTCTCAACAGAGTTGAGCGTGGAAGTCAGGCTCTGCTTGGAGGTAGAGCGACGAATGGTACTGTTCTGACGTGACGGGCTAGTGTTCGGGTTGAGTGACTTGACCGAATTGTGAGAGTTTGACGAGCCAGCCCATAGTCGCCCAAGGAAGCCAGAGGCCGTTGCCTGCATCTGCGGAAAGGAGGGTCCGGATGGTGAGCCTTTAGATTGGTTGTAGCTGGCTTCAAGGGTCTGAAGACTCTCGTTCGTCACGAGAGAGGTCAGAGACACGAAATCATTAACGAGATCATCAGCATTGAAGGCATATCTGGATATCACGAGTTAGCGGAGTTCTTTGTTTCCAAGATTTGCTTTGTGCGATGCCAAAACTTACGTGTCCCACAAGCTTCGAGATAATAACAGTTGCATCACGTCCTCAAATTCGCTGCAAGCCAAAATTCTCTTCTCGTTGCGCTGCATCAGGGAAAGCGCAACTCGCATCAAAGTCTCACATGCGCCTTCCAAGAAAATAACGTCATAAATTCGGAGAAGCATCGGCAGCGGACAGGCCACCGCAAAGAATGATAGGAACCACTGCGATACGTAGACCGGCTCAACGTGCAGTGCTTCCAGATGTTGGAACAGGACCGGCCTGTGCCGTGCTAGAAGATTTTGGAACTGATAAACATGAAGGTGGAGACCCGAAAGGTCTGGAAGATAGCAAGTTCGGAGGTTGTAGTGATCCATAAGGCTACAATACGTGACATATTAATACGACTTCTCCAAGTTGGATCATCCGAGGAGACTTACCGGACAAGAACACAGAAGGCCTCGGCATCTGTCATGTGCATGAGCAGAGGGCCTACCACAAATCCAAGACCTTGGCAGTAGCCAATCTTGGTATCATAAAGACTGAAGCATCGCAACACCCGGCCGAGCATTTGCTGACCCTCCCCGTTTGGGTCGCGGAACATTTCAACATTGGGAAAGCTGCGACCAATATCTTTTCCAATTAGCCCGTCGTACGGACTGCTTTCACCCGAAAGTCTCTGGAATTCATTCAATAGAGTAGGATCGCGTGCGCCCGCTAGACTAGGCCACACCACCCCTCGCAATGGCGGAGGCACACCTCCTTGAATCTTATTCGAGGTCAATGTCGGCAAACGCTGAGCAGTCTGGTGGTAATCGGCAACAAGCGCAGCCCAAAACTCTAACTCGGTCATTGGAGGAGGGGGTAACTGTGAGTATCGCAGCTCTGCCCGAGCGGGATCCCTAATGAGTCGCTTGATATGGTGTAGTGACTCAGAGCGGGACTGCCGCTGGTGTGCTTTGCCATCAGAAACATCGGGTATCCGAGATTTGGGGTTGGTCGCCAAAGCATTGTTTTCTTGTTCGAGTCGAGCGAGGAGCAGGGCCGTGGACTAAAATTAGGTCAAGAATGTTAGCACCCGTTCTAGAATTCTGCAATTTGTCACACTTACTTCATCGGACCCCTCCCCACGCGGCTCTTGTTCTTCTGTCTTATCAAGATTCTCCCAATCCACCTCATTGTCAAACGTCTCGCCTGTCTGCATCTCCCCGTCTGCGCCTGGGGTTTCGGGAGTGGGGGTGGTCCTCGCCGCGTCCTGCAGTGGCACCGGTCCAAATGACTCCTCACTCTCTTTCTCGAGATGGCTCATCTCCACTGGAGTTGGAGGGATGTCAAGAGTGCGCCAATCCGGCTGGGTGTGCTCTGAACTGGACTGGTTATCGGATAACGCGACGGTGACCATTGAGTCATGGTTTGGCGCGTGCCTAACGCTGGGAGATACTGGCTCGGAAAATTCCATTGTGGCGCGACAGAAAACAGAGTATGTGATTCGAAGGATGAAGGATTAGACGCGTTATTGTTGACGATCTTGATATCGGAGGATAGTAGTGTTATTTCAGGCTGGTTTTCAACTGCATAGCTATGCACTTCCCAATTCCGTGTATTCAAGAAAAACCAATTCCTTCCAGCAGAAGTGGGACCTGGATATGACTCTAGACTTGTACCCAGTACAAGAAGAAAAGGCTGGAGAAAGGAAAAAAAAAGGGAGTCAGGAGAGATCCCACCTATTTCGTTAGCCCCCCCTTTAGCTTTCCCCTCGTGGAGTCTCGGCCCCGTCGATCATCCTCATACACCGACTGTTTGACCATTGAAATGGATATATTATGGAATCTTGGAATATTTAAATATAAGATAATTAATACGAGTGCTATTTTGACTGTTCACGCATCAGGGTTCCCCCACATAAACCGAAATTGGTATCGGAGGGATTTCGAGTACATTGTACTAGTACATGTACGGCGTACTATATTTGCAGTAGTACAGAGTACATATTACTAGTATGCTTGAAATTATAATGAGCATGTCTCGAGTCGCGCTATTTCAACTGCATTTTGCCTGCAGGTACAGAGTACAGCCTCCCACATTTCGAAGATTAAAGGTCAAAGGGGCACTGTCATTGTACAGACTTGTATCTTTGATACACCCATATGCCCTTCTGTATTGTTTTTATGGCTTTCATTGGTTTACACTTTAAATTAGGCCGACTTTATTGGTGGAACCACTTAACTAATATTGAAATACAATTACCACCCCCTGACTTGTCCCTTGTATCTCAATCTTGAGGCTGGCCAACGTTTGTGGGCTTACTTCGGACAGCACACGGAGTACATCATCAATTGACTCAAAAGGATTATATACAGACTTAGTTTCTATTTCTATGCTCCGTACGGAGCACCACCCCTTGGACTCGCACCGTCAACGACTCGCAGTGATCCACAGAGTGTGGCCCATGCGGTCCGCCTGTCAAATCTGGGAGGGTTTCCAACCCACTTTTCGAAACTTCGAGGAATTTCTCGGACTACGGAGTGTAAACCAAGCAGTTGCCGTTGTTCAGGACCGTGTGACCCCCGGCTATCGGACTTTATGTCTGGTTTGCCGGGCGGTTGGGTTATTTTGTGCGACAACTACATCGTATATTTTCGGAGTGGCCTTGATGGGTATCCATCTTCCCCCGATACCTATATCGGCTAAAAAGGATCCTGAGATAATGGAGCCGTGAGTTACAGCATATGGCTCTATTCAATCAATGGCTATTACCATAATCGTTCATTGTGTCACTGTCGAGTGCTATACATAGTCGGAGTCACGCAAGGGTTATATATACCCCCGCGACTGGGTCTACAGACAGGTATGGAGTACTACAAGTGAGGATATCTCTTTAATATACGTTCCTAGCTAGGTGGTTACGAATGGATAATCCACCGACCTTGGAAAGGTATAATTACTCACTTTATCCAAGTGTTCCATGTACAACGTAAATTGACATACACTGAGTGTAAATAATATGGAGATAGTTCAAGCCTCATGTATATGCTGAAGAGGAGAAATAGAACTCAGTCAGATCTGAATTTGAAGGAGTGCTCTGTGATTGCTCTGATTTTACTAGCCAAACTATATTTAGATCTTCGCTATTCCCGCTAACTTCAATCATGACATTGAAGTAAAAGAAAACAAGGGATCTGTCATCTCAGAGATATTGCAGTCATGCGGACCACATGTCTATAATATGTAGATATCTATCTTTATCTCATATTTCTATAAATTGACGTGAAGATGCACAACATGCAAAGTGAGGGGAACTTTATCCGTTTTTCTTGTTTGTTTGCGAATTGCCTTTTTGGGACGCGTTTGCAGGCGGTGAGGGAAGAACGATGATCCGAGTGGCTAAAACTGCCCACCGCCCCCTATCAGTCGCGACTTCCCTGGGCAAAAAAGCAACAGCTTCCCCTCCGCGTATTCTCTCTCTTCTTCTCTTCTGCTTCTTTCTTTACTCTTTTCCGGCTTGAGCATGCCGGAGCTTGATTGATCCGCTCCTTGAAATTAAAAGATAGTGTCATTCGTTTGCTACAACTTCGAGGCCTGACTTAGACTCCTTCCCCTCCCCATTGCGCTCCATCGCGCTCCATTTGTTCACTCGTATCTATCATGAGTGACTCCATGATGGATGACTCGGTCTTCGAGGATGACGGAGGTAGCTCTGACTTTGCTCCCGAACCTGCGCCGGTATGAACTCACCCCAATATACCAACAGCAAACTCAACCTTGGTTACTGACATTATACGTCCCCTAGAAACCGAAAGCTAAGGCGGCTCCTAAGAAAGCTGCCGCCAAACCTGCCACCAAAAAGACCACGCAGACCACACTGAAGACCAAGCCTCCGAAGGCAGCTGCTACTAAGAAGAAGGCTAAGGCCGACAGCGAGGACGATATGTCCGATATTCAGATTTCCGATGATGATTCTCTGCTCTCCCACACCCCTCCCAAGGCTAAGAAGACCGCTGCGCCTAAGAGGGCTGGCTCAAAGCCTCTGGGCGATGTCGAAAATGAGTCTCACGGGGGAGACGCCGCTGCTGATAGCGCGAGCAAGAGTGGAGATGCATCAGAGAAGTACCAAAAAGTAAGTTGCCGCAGCTTCTAGCATATTATAATTTTCGCCGGGATACTAATATCTATTCTTAAATACAGCTCACCCAACTTGAGCACATTATCAAACGTCCCGATACCTACATTGGATCCACCGAACGCACCACACAGCAGATGTGGGTTTACAACTCCGGAACTGAGTCGATGGAGTACCGCGATGTCTCTTTCGTCCCTGGTCTCTACAAAATATTCGACGAGATCGTGGTCAACGCCGCCGATAACAAGCACAACGACTCAAGCATGACCGAGATTCGGATCACGATTGACCGTGAGGCTGGCGAAATCAGCGTGTGGAACAACGGACGTGGTATCCCTATCGAGATCCACTCCAAAGAGAAGATCTACGTACCCGAACTTATCTTCGGCCATCTGCTCACTTCTTCCAACTACGACGATAGTCAGCAGAAGGTGACTGGAGGTCGAAATGGTTTCGGCGCCAAGCTTTGTAATGTTTTCTCGACAGAGTTCAACCTCGAAACACAGGACTCCCGCCAGAAGAAGAAGTACAAGCAAACCTGGACTGAGAACATGACGAAGATGGGCAAGGCAAAGATCACAGATGCCAAGGGAGATGACTACACCAAGGTCACTTTCAAGCCAGACTTTGCCAAGTTCGGCATGGAGGGCATCGATGATGATTTCGAAGCCCTTGTCAAGCGCAGAGTCTACGATTTGGCGGGTACGGCCAATGTTGCAGTCAAGTTAAACGGCACACGCGTCCCCATTCGCGATTTCCGAAAGTACATGGAAATGTACACTAAAGCCATTCGCAAGGAGCGGGGTGATGATGGTCCTCCCTCAAAGAATGAAATTATTACATGCAGCCCCGATCCTCGATGGGAGGTTGGTTTTGCTGTTTCAGACGGTTCCTTCCAACAAGTCTCATTTGTCAACTCGATCGCGACAACCTCGGGCGGAACGCACGTAAACTACATCGCCGATCAGATCTGTACCCGCCTGGCCGACCAGGTGAAGAAGAAGAACAAGTCTGGAGCAACTCTGAAGTCGGCACAGATTCGGAACCACATCTTCATTTTCGTAAAGGCCTTGATTGTCAACCCGGCCTTCACCTCCCAGACCAAGGAACAGTTGACGACAAAGGCCAGTCAGTTTGGTAGCAAGTGTCCCCTTGATGAAGATTTCTACAAGAAGGTCTTGAAAACTGAGGTTATGTCAAATATTCTGCACTTCGCGGAGCAAAAGGCCGATCAGATCTTGAAGAAGGGTGATACTGGCCGACGCACGCGTATGAACAACCCAAAGTTGGTCGACGCCAACAAAGCTGGTACTAGGGAGGGTCACCACTGCACCCTCATTTTGACTGAGGGTGAATCAGCCAAGGGATTGGCCATGGCAGGCAGAGCAGTTGTTGGACCGGATTTGTTCGGTGTTTTCCCCCTGCGCGGAAAGCTTCTTAATGTCCGCGATGCTTCTTTCGACCAAATTTCGAAGAACGTGGAAATCCAAAGCATCAAGAACTTCATTGGTCTCCAGCACAAGAAGGAGTACACCGATACCAAGGGACTGCGATATGGCCATCTCATGATCATGACTGATCAGGATCACGACGGTAGTCACATCAAGGGTTTGCTTATCAACTTCCTTCAAGCCCAGTTCCCCAGCTTGCTCAAGATTCCTGAGTTTCTGATTGAGTTCATCACTCCTATCATCAAGGTTTGGAAGGGTGATCCGAAGAACCCGACCAAGCAGAAGTCGTTCTTCACCATGCCCGAGCATGATGAATGGCGTGAAGCTCACCAACACGAACGCGGCTGGGAACACAAGTACTACAAGGGTTTGGGAACCAGCACAACGGAAGATGCACAGGTCTATTTCCGCGACCTCGATCGCCATCTCAAGGAGTTCCACACTATGCAAGATGGTGAAGCTGGACTTATCGAGCTGGCTTTCTCCAAAAAGAAGGCAGATGAGCGTAAGGAGTGGCTTCGCCAATACAAACCTGGCACATTCCTGGACCATTCGGTGGCGAAGATTACATACACCGACTTCATCAACAAGGAGCTCATCCTGTTCAGTATGGCGGATAACCAACGTTCGATTCCTTCCGTTGTCGATGGTTTGAAGCCAGGACAGCGCAAGGTGCTTCATACCTGTTTCCGCCGCAATCTGAGGAAGGACATGAAGGTGGTTGAGCTGGCAGGTCATGTATCCGGAATGACAGCCTACCACCACGGTGACGTCTCCCTGCAGCAGACTATCGTTGGTCTTGCCCAGACCTTTGTTGGTTCCAATAATATCAACTGCCTGGAGCCCAGTGGAAATTTCGGTAGTCGACTTCAAGGTGGTGGCGATTGTGCCAGTGCTCGTTACATCTACACTCGCCTGTCTCCCTTTGCACGCAAAGTTTTCCATACGGCCGATGAACCACTATTAACGTACAATGAAGACGATGGCAAGAAGATTGAGCCCGAGGTATTTATGCCTGTCGTCCCGATGATTTTGATCAACGGCGCGGATGGTATCGGAACTGGTTGGAGTTCTTCTATCCCCAACTACAACCCCGAGGATGTTGTGAACAATCTAAAACGCCTGATGGCTGGCGAGCCTACTGAGCCAATGCAGCCATGGTTCCGTGGCTTCACCGGTGAGGTTGTAGCCGTCGGTGGTGATCGATTCAAATTCAGCGGTATCATCAGGGAATGTGGTGAGAAGGAGGTCGAGATCACCGAATTGCCTATTCGAACATGGACGCAGGATTTCAAGGACAAACTAGAGGATATCATTAAGGCTGAGAAGGTGCCATCCTTCATCAAAGATTACAGGGACTACAACACCCACACCAAGGTCCACTTCATCATTCAACTCGATGAGAAACACATGAAGGTTGCTCTGACTGAAGGACTGGAAGAAAAGTTCAAGCTGACCAAGACGATCGCAACAACCAATCTGGTGGCTTTCGATCCCGAGGGCCGCATCACCAAGTACGCCACTGTCGATGACATTCTCAAGGAGTTCTTTGTCGTCCGTCTCAAATATTACGAGCGACGCAAGCAGTTCCAACTTGCCGATCTACAGAGAGATCTTGAGAAACTGAGCAACCAAGCTCGCTTCGTGCAGATGATTATCGATGGCAAATTGGTCATCTCCAAGAAGAAAAAGCCTGTTCTGATCGCTGAGCTAAAGGAAAAAGGCTTCAAGCCGATTGCGAAGGTGGCCGAGGCCGCCAAAATGGGCGAAGATGAGCCTGTGGTAGAAGAGGAAGAGGAGTCGGATGACAATGACACTCAAAGACTGTCCAGCTCGTTTGACTACCTTTTGGGTATGCCTATGTGGTCGCTGACACAAGAGCGCGTGGAGAAGCTCCGCCGCCAGATTGGTGACAAGGAAACAGAGGTCGACGTCTTAATTAAGCTGTCCAAGGAGGACATCTGGACCCGGGATCTGGACGAATTCATCCAGGAATGGCGCTTCCAGCTTGAAGATGAGGACCGCCGAGCCCGCAAGGTGGCTGGTCTGGGCCGTCGCCTCTCGGCCAAGCTGGCCACTGGCGGTGGTGGTCGCGCTGCGGCTTCGCGCAAGCGTAAGGCTGCTAACGGCGATGATCCAGACGACGAAGACTTCGGGGCCCCTAAGGCGAAGAAGGCCGCCGCAGCCAAGAAGAAAGAGCAGCCCAAAAACAGCTTGATGAATTTCCTCAGTAAACCTCCGAGCAAACCAACCGCATCGCCTGCGGCAGACGGAACTGGTGACTCCGACGATGAATTCAACATGGACATGGAGGTACTTCCGAAGAAGAGCCGTGCCACCTCAAAGCCTAAGACTCTGCCTAAAGAAGAAGACGACTTTATCGACATCGAGGACGTTCCCCAGACCTCGCGCGCGTCAGCTCAGCCAGCTGATGACATTATGGACGTAGATGTGGATGAAGTGCCAAAGCCCAAACCAGCAGCCAAGGCAGCGGCCAAACCGGCCGCTAAACGAGGACCTAAGCCCAAGGCCAAGGTCGAAGAGGACTCGGATGACGATTTCTTGGAGATCGCCAAATCCGAGAGTTCCAAGCCCGCAGTGCAGTCTTCTCGCGCTCGCAAGCCTGTGAAGTACTCAGCGCCTAGTGATTCTGAGAGTGACAACGGTGATGATCTTCTTGGAGACGTTAGCATGATGGTTAAAGGCATTGGCGGTGACTCTGGCGCCGATTCTCGACAACTCTTCTCGGAGCGCCCCCGTTCGGAAAGCAGTGCCAGCGTGAAGACTGCTGCGAAGTCTTCCAAAGCCAACGACGATTTTGATCCGGATGAGACCGACTACAGCAAGCTCATTCCTAAAAACTCCCCACGGCGCTCCATTCAGGTCAAGCCCAAGGACGTCAAGCTCGATGACAAGGATGAAGACGATGAGGAGGACCAGCCAGTCAAACCAACTGCTCGGGCCAAAGCTGCACCCAAAGCCAAAGCCGCTCCCAAGGCTGCCGCCAAGGTCGTAGAGGTCGATGACGATGACGACGAGGAGGACGAACCGATTAAGCCCACTGCTCGGGGTAAAGCTGCGCCCAAATCCAAGGCTCCCCCAAAAGCCGCTGCCGCCACCTCGGCACCAAAGGCGCGTGGTCGCCCCAAGAAAGAGCCAGCTTCGAAGCCCGCCCCCAAGTCTGCTCCCCCGACTTTATCCCCGGCGGCCAAGGCTTATGCTTCTAAGCAAGCCAAGGCAAGCAAGAAGATTGTGGATGATTATTCGGAGGATGACATCGACGCAATGGCTAACGACATTTTGGATTCCCCAGCGGGAAAAGTGAATGTGGATATTTCGGAGGACGATGAGCCCGCTCCTGCCCCCCGCCGCGCTGCTGCAGGCCGTCCTGCTCGTCGTGGCGCCACACAACAAAAGAAGTCCTATGTCATTGAGGATGACAGCGATGAAGAAGAATCGGCCGATGACTTTGACGAAGACGAAGATGAGAGCGACTAAGTAGTGACATAGTGAGGACTGGAAGGCCATTTGCGATTTTCTCTTGTTTTGCGACGCTCTCTATTGTGTTTCATTTTCTTTCATTTCCATGTCTTAGTTTGATATTTTATGGAGATCTGGCAGAGCCAGCTGCATGCAAGGCGAATATGAGAGGTTTAATTTTTAATATATTCTATCCGTAAATCTTTCAGTAGCGTCTACTATGTAATATCTGATGTTGCTCTTCTGGAATTGAAGGACCATTCACATTATACGAAAAACGCGGTTGTAGACAGTAATGCTGGTAAGCAAGGTACATAAACATAAGACAAGGACTCATAAAATACATGTAATAGCTTCAGTTTCCATATAATAGCCTAACGCCGTCCAGTCTAACCCATTGCCCGTCATAAGAATCATCCTCAAAGAAAACGAAGTGGTATTGAAGCATCGGACAGGCTGTTTGAAAACCCCAGTGTCAACTAGTCCATCAAGGTCCTCAATCCTGTTCCATGCGAATCAAATACAAGGGACACTGACTTAAACAATCAAACCCTCAACTCCAAGTAAAGTCATCAAATCACACATGTTCCTCACAAAATGCATAGACACGGCACCACACAAAAAGCTTCATGTGCGAGACCATAAACGCCATTCCCACGTCAAATTTGTAGCGCAATCGGTCATCAAAGCGAAGCTCGACGTCGCTTACGGCTACGAGATTCGTCGCCGTCAAGAGAGTGAGAGCCGGAAGGCAATGTCGTCTCGTCATCATCCATCTCCGTCTCGTCTCCGGTGCTTTCAAGCTCATTCATGTGCAGACGAAGAAGAGCTTCGGCAGCCTTTACCTCACGGGTGAAATGAGGCGACGGCTGAGGACGCGCAGCTCGGGACTTCCGGCTGGGGTACTTCTTAGTCTGGGATGCGGGACTTATAGAACCGTCCTTGCTAACCGAAGTTCCAACAGGAGTCCTCTTGAGAGGGGGTCCACGGTAGTCTTCATCGTCGTCATCATCCATTTGCCAATCATCGTCCGAGTCAGTTATGTCATCGTCGCTTTGCATAGCAACCACCTCCGAAACAGCGTTGGTGGGTCCGTCGAGGCCACCGAGCTTGTCAGTTTCCATATGCCCATCCACCGGAGGGGAGTTTGGAGTGGAATACATGTTGGACGAGCCATCACTCTCGGTATCACTGTCTTCGCTGATACCAGAGACATTCTCCGGGCGCATAGCATCTGAGATAGCATGGAGGATAGTCCGGGGTGATTCGACCCGGGAGCGAGGGATAGCATTAGAGCTGCGCGGGGGGTTGATGGGCGTGAAGGTAGACATAGGCGACTGGCTCTTGGGCGACATGTAGTAAGGCTCCATAGAGGAGTCCCGGGCACTGGGATTACTCTCGGCATATTTGGTACGCGGGATCTTGAGCGGGGGAAGTGTCAGGGAGTCTTCTCGGCTCAATACTCCCATACCATGAAGAAGGGTATGGGTTGAGGAAGGTGCATTGATTGCGGGAGGGCTGGCTCCGGTGCTAGACTTCATCTCCAAAGAGCGATAGTAGTTGGAGAGGTTGGTGGCTCGCTGAACGATCTCTGGAGGGATGACCATACGGCCATGAGTTTTGCGGTCCGTTGGGGGGATACACATGGCCGGGAATTCTGTGCCAAACAGTGGAGTCAGGGCGTATCGGATTCTCCAGCAGAAGGTGGCTGCCATGGCTTTGGCTGCTTCGTATGGCATCCAGTATCCTATCGAAAAGCAAAAGAAGGTATTAGATCTAGTTATCCAAGGAATTGGTTTGCATGAGAAGAGGGTATAAAGATCTTACCTTGAGCGGAAAGTGCCCCGCCGGTGATGCTGTGGCAGATATCGCGGAGGCCGGGGTTCTGGTTTAGCATCTTACCTGGGGTAGTCTATAACGAGTTAGAAATTCCGATTGTATGGAAGAGCTACCTTGTGGACTTGCCTTGGAGTAGCCATTGCATTTGAAAAGGTGTGTAATCCGAACGATGCCGATGTTGTAGTCCCACATAACATGCCATTCCTTTTCTTCGCCGGGTATTTGGAATGTGTATTGAAAGACTAGATGGAAGAGTCAGATGTGAATGTCAAGGCAAGTTCAACGGCACATACCATGGAAGCTATCTCGGCCGGTCTTTTCCTGGAAGGTTTTCTTCTCGCTGGCATATGGGATCTGGCGAGGATAGTCGGCAATGTTGCCAAAGGGACGTAGCGAGAGCTCTCGATGAGCCTTCTCCAGCTCCGCATCTCTTTCCTCGCAAGGAGGATAGCGACACTCGCCCTGGATCTTGCCACGACGAAAGACTGGGGCGTCCTTGGCCATCTTCTGCCGTTTCTCACGTAAGGCAGGGAAGGACGGATGAGGAAATCGCCTTTCGGGCTGAGGATTCAGAAGGGATTTGATAGATAGCATTAAGAAGTTCAAGTGCTATCCTTGAAGGAGGGAGAGTTGAAGAAGTACGAAATCTCCGGGGAAAGAAGGAGCTTAATGTCTCCTGGAACAAGAGGTGCTTTCCAGAAGGACTGAAAGACAGAGTCAAGCCTGCAAGAGGAAACAAAGTAAAGCAAGACAATCCAAGACCTTTGTTCGAAGGTTTGTTCCGCACAGCTTCTAGAGGTGAGTCCCGGTGTGTTTGTTAGCAAATACAACTTTCGAGGAGACAGAGACAGACAGCGGTGAATACAGGAACTCGGAGTGTCTGACACAAGGGAATGCAAATGGGCTTCACCGGTCCTTTGCCTCTCCCTCTCCCTCTATATCTCCCATATCACAAGGGTCCTTAAAGTTGGACGAGTCCACGGGCTGTTTGTCCCTCCGCGTGGAAGTGGAAGTTCCCAATGATCTTCGACTCTGGACTGATGATGCAGTGTACATTGATTTCCATTGATGCCCCTGGAAGCAATTACAAGATACACAGAATTTTAAGACCTATGTCTCTCATCTCTCGAGGCATAACCTGTTTCACACAACTGCGACTACCCAAGCCTCTCACCTCCAAAGAGATTAGTGAAAAGAAAGCATGGCAGCAACCGTTTCAGGGACCATGTGGATATCCTGGATTTCCTTTTGGAAACGCAGAGAGCACTGCTGCGTGCAAACAGCTCGTTCCGGCAATAGGTACGTACAAAGACCTACTATATTAAACCCGATTATGCTACGAGTGCCCTATTATCCCGGGGTAGAGAGCTCAACCGTTGTCCCACCATCTTCCATTTCTTCAGAATCTTATCGAAGAACCCATGCCAGATCGTCCTTGGCATTGGACTAGAGCCAGGGTACTGCAGAAACCGGAGCATTAGGACACCAGTTTAATGGCCCAATAAGGAGCTACATACCCCATGGTGGCTCGACAGGATGGGCACCAAAGAGGTCTCAGACTCACGGCAAGCTGCAGGGCAACTTGCTCCTTGTATGACGGGAAACTGCATTACCTAGCGAGTCCGCGAAGTGCGTCTGAGAAAAGCTGTGCTGCACAGATAAACTTCTGACATCAAAGATTATGGGAAAGGTGACAAGGATGTTCACTTGGGTGCCACGCTTCTATGCCTATACTCTTTGCACTAGGCTGTACAAGCGGTCCATACATTTGATTGACGGGGTAAGGCTGAGTTGATACAAACAGATGCTGACCATGTTAGAAAGCACTGCAGTGGTTCTTTATTACTGAACACAGTTCTGCAATTCACTTCTTCTTTTTCCCCCTTCTCAATTGAATGCCCATTCTGAAAGTCCTCGCACTGTCGACTAGGCCGCTGATTGCAGTTTGAGGGCGTGCACATAACAGAGACATGGGCGCTCCAGAAACGCAAGAGACATAATAACGACTTCAAAGAACTTTCCATGCATCCTTCTATGCAGTAGTCCGACACGTTGGTGGCTGTTAGAGCCCACTTTTCCTGTCCGTATCTTTCTTTTTTCTCCTCTGCTTGAACTGACTTGTGCCATAGTGTCACACTGACTTCTCCCAGTCCGTTTTGCAACCCGCTACTGTACCCACCTGCCAGTCTAGTGTAGTCTGCATAAGACTTTCAACAGGTACAAGGGGCCGTTCCGCCAATCGGTACCGGGCCGGGGCAGCATCACAGAGCACTGCAGAAAACGGTGCGTATAGATGCTGGCAGGACGCTATGCAATCTGGTCAGAGACTGTAAAGGTCGAGGACTGAGGCGTTAACTAGATGTCAACACAACCGGGCTAGTTTTCGAGGGGGTAGTGGCTCAATTGCATTGGAGTCGGTCTGCAAAGAGTCCCAACAGCCGAGACCAGGAGAGTCCAGAAACGAGGACTGGTTTCCAATGTCTCAGACACTCTAGTGCTGGCTAAACATTCTCTATTAAACCCCAAAGAGCGGTAAACCCGGACATGCGTGTCCCCCAGCATCTGCGACGCGTCTCAGATCCCGGGCTTCTGGAAAAGGGGCAAGAAGCTATGTCTCAATTGGGATGCTGCTGTTGGTGTTTAGGCCTTTTCCAAGCGGCTATTACCTTCCTATTCATTTCCATAAAGTATAATCGAGCCTCTTAGTAACATTGACTCTTTCAGGTTACCCTTGGGAGTTTCCTCTTTTCACATGTTTATCAAGAAGTTGGCAGACTCATTGTTCAGATCAGAGCTGAACAGCTCTTGAAGATGTTGTGGTAAGGTCTCAACAGTGGACAAGGAATACACGGAGCGTCATGTCCACATGAGCCTGCAAGACTCGATACTGAATCCAAGTTTCAACCAAGTAAAAGACTTACTTCTATCACGAAGAGGTCCAGACCTCGACCCGTCGAACACAGAATACAAGCCGGACCCGAACCCCCACTTCGTTCAAGACGCTTGAGATTCACAAGATACCCCTCACCCGCAGATATCAGACAACAGTCGGGAATCTGTACCACAGCCCTCGAATCCGGGGTATATGGGGAGAGGTGAAGGGGAAACACAGTTCCGAGCACGACTGAACAAGGCAAGTCTTCGAGGGAGAGGGGAAGTACAATGAAAGGGAAAACAAAATCGTCACAGGCTGGCCCGAATCGCGATGCGGCGAATAGGGAGCCGGGTCGGTGGACCAGGATGAAACTCAACGGCTGTCTTGCACTATTGATCAAGGCCGCTTGCATTTGCGAGCAACTACCTAAGTGGGTCGGGTCGAGGCATTTTGCGCATTGAGATGGGAGTCATGACGCACGGATGTGGCAGGATGTCGACTGGATCTGGCTTCCTGGTGAGTAGTACGTGTACAATTCGTGATAGTTGCTTAGATAGTGGTCGAGGTCCCTGCGCGAGGCTCGAGGACGGGCACACTGCATGAATGTGTCTTCAGGATATATGGAAAGCCAAAGGTCATGAATTTATGTAAATGTAATTCCATTAGAAACAATATGAACCCGAGAAAGACATTGACAAGGGGCGTTCGGAGAAAAGAAGTAGACGGATAAAAATGTCCAGTGTGTTAGGGGGTGAAGATAAAATAACGAAAGGAGAAACAAGAGACATGACAGCTCATTCATCGCTCAAGGATCCTCCTTTTTCTTTTTGTTCGTCGTCGACAAGATGATTTGGCCAGAGCCAATGTATTCCCAAGGGATCTCCAACAAGAACAGGTGACTCAAAAAATCGATCTCACGTGCCATTCGGCATATCCAGCAGTAATCATGGCCAGAATAATGATATCCATTCACCAAAGAACATTTGATTGATGTTCAAGTTTGAGTGTCAAGTAATATTCCCGGTCAAATGACCTAGTATCATTGAGACCTATTTAAATGGCCAGAAGAGGCTCACGGTCACCAGCCTGCTCTGCGGGCTCCACAACAATGTCAGATTCGAGAGTCTGAGCGACAGGAGCGGCTTTGGGAGCCTCGGGGAAGTCCTCGTGCTTGACGGCGGGCTCGGCGACAGGCTCGACAACAGGGGCAGTGAACTCGGGGATGGGAGTCTTAGCAGACTCGGCCGCGGTCTCACGCTTGATCGGGCTCACGAGCTTGCTCGCTTCCGGGGAGGTAGAGCGCCGGGAGCTGATGATACCTTGGGCCTTGGAGCTGTACTCACCGACATACTGCTTCATCAAGCCGGTGGCGTGCGAGGTACGCTCGCCAGCCATGTCCCGAAGCTGGTTGGTCTGGGAGTTGATGATCTCCTGGGCGTTGATAATCTGCTCGTCAATCAATTCACGGTTGCTGATGTAGATGAGGGGGGTGAAGTATGTGGTGGTCACGGCAATCACGGCCAAGCCCCAGAAGGGAACGAAGCGGATCAGCCAGTAGCCGGTGAAAGCAGCAGTGAAAGCCTGAAAAGAGCGTTAACTTTTGCCTTTTGGTCCATCTCCGTTCTGGACAAGTTGCATCCTACCAAAATGGTGTGGAGGACATTCTCAGCGAACAGGATGCGCTGGAACTCGATCAGGAAGAAGTCCACAAGCTGCTCAAGGTCCTCGAGGACAGCCTCAACGGTCTCCTTGGGGATAGTGTAGTAACGGCGGGGGCGGAATCCACTGGCGACTCCTCGCTTGAGGATGACATGGCCAGCAACCTCGACGGTGGCGGTCACTGCACACAATTGTTAACCAACCACTCTGTTTAACGTAGGTCACGCGACCAACTCACCTCCCAACGACATGTATAGGAACTTGAAGGCCCAGCGGAGAAGAGGCAGATAACGGGCGGCGAAGATGAAACAGATCACGCTGGCGTAGGAGACGGCGGTCGCACGGGGTTGTTCCCACTATACACACTGAGATTAGCAAGCTATCCAAATTGAAGACTCGGGCGACAACTCACGCTCAGAAGGCTATACATCAAAGAGTGGTAGTCTAGACACTTGTTAATATCCCGCTACCCAATCAATCCAGTTGTCACGACGTACGGGTCAATGGTTGACCATCGGCGGTGGTGGTCGAAGGGGTCACACGCGAGCTTTTCAGATCGCGAAGCTCATCGCCGGTACGGGATGCTTCGGACTTCACATTATCGACAACTGGGCCTATCAAGAACTGGTCAGCATGCATCGGTGGCTTCGGATACTCCCGGGTACCTATTTACCCTTGGTAATAACATCGCTGATGCCTGAACGCAAGAGGGGTCAAGGTTAGTTCCTCCCACGGAGTCTAGGAAAAAGAAAAGAGCATACTGCAGGGTGACGGTTAGCGTATTCACTCTGCAGGATTGAAATGATCTGTTGATTTTCTTACCTTACTGCCCGTGTTAGGGTAGGTCACGTCACCAGAAGCCATGACGGTGATATTTGTGGAAGCACTTCAGGGGAGGTTTTTAGAAGCGAGATTAGATTATTCGCAAGAAGCGATCAACTGAGTCGAGGCGTGAATCCTAGAAAATAAATGAAAGGGGGAAAGGGGGGAAAGAGAAAGAAGAGAAAGAGGGCACAGAAAAAGATAAGGGAAGATTCGACTTCCAAGGTTGTTGTGATGCTGTCATGTGCGTCGCCAAGCCCGAACAGCTATGGATCTGGGAATGTTTTTGTGGGTGACAAATTTGCTGTTAATCCTGATTCTACTTGAGAATACTTTTATTGGGTGTGGATCAATTGGAAAACATGAATAATATCTTGATACTAGTCTATAGCACTCTAAGAGTACATATGTGTATGGCTATATTCCATAACACTTGAATTAGACCACCTTCAACACTGTTAATACTTAGCCTTAATGTACTTTGCTATGAAATGCTATAGAATACTAGTTATAGCGTTCAACTTCATGTCGCTATACACTAAAGCTATATATACTCCGATGTGTACAATATAGTTATGACTTCATCCACTTATACAACCAATCACAAGTAACAAGTGCGACGGACCTCGGCTCTACCTGACTTGGAGCTCTGCTTAATTATGTACTACAATAGCTATGAAGACATACTCCCAGCTATAACCAAGGATATAAAACCCCTATATATAACCCTTTTAAGAATAGTTTCTTAATCTATCTTCTATTAACCCCATTCCTAATGATATGGTTGGCTAATCCCCACTAATATCGGAGCCAAATTTTTATACATTTATGCTGAATCTGCTATTCATCTGCTATACGACTCGACTTAGTAATAATCGAAAATACTGAATAATGTCTTGGTCAAAGTCTATAGCGCTCTATAAACGCCCTGGCAGGTTAGCGGTTCAGAACCGCCACTTAACCACGAAGCAATCATCAAACGCCTCTCTCAACCCGATCTTTTTTCTTCTTGGCGAACCTCAGAACGAGAGCTCCTTGTGTGACTGAAGTATTTTTTACAATAGTTATTTGGCTTCAAAAGAGAATGAAAGCACTTAGTGTTTGAGATACATCGTTTGTAAATTGTGCATTTGTGGACTGTGTTGGAACCTGGCGCTGCATTGTATGCTTTGTTCATTACGCCACCACACAATCAATCCAGATGTACATGGCTATACTCCATGACACTTTGGCCAAGCCATCTTTCAAAGACTGTCACGTTCTATCCTTTACGCTGCTTTTGCTCCCCATCGCTGTACACCAAAGCTATGCGTGTCCAATGTCCGTCGATTTACAATATCATACCTAGGTGTACCCAGGGACATAGATCCCTGTATGCATGTAAGCTTTTTTGATTTCTTAATATATCTCCTTTCGTGGGGTGCAAACATACTCTTGATGATCTGGTTGGCCAATCCCCACTAATATCGCAGGCAGCATGGCTTCAGCCTCATCGGGTTCTGAATTCGGCTATATTTGTCGACGGTAATTCCTCTTTCATTTCCATTCTCACCTCAAACGATTTCTTATTCAAATGACAGAGCCGAATCTTTCTCCTGCTTGTTTTACAAAGTACAACGAGCAGACCCAAAGCAACCTATTCTCCCTCTCCCCTCCAGAGATTCGCTATGATATCTTCACCTACGCTTTGACAAGTGCCTCAGACGCCACGCGACCACCTGAGCAAGACGGATACTGCATGCGACCAGGGTATGAGACCCGCCATCGGACCTATATAGAACTGCTCCGAACCTGCAAAAATGTCTACATGGAGGCATGGTTTATGCCCTTCTTCTGTTTGGAGCATGTATTCCGGATGGCTAACTGGGACCGCACTCCCGGGCGAATGATTACGGTCGAGAAAAATGCAGCGAGGCCTAGTCTATCCGATACACGCAGACCTGGATGTAGCAACGTAACGAGGAGTTATAGTTCGGAGGGGCCCGGAGCAAATGGCGGGTGCTGCCCTCTAGCATCGATAGGTTTTGTATCGACATCGAGAGCATCGAGCGAGGTAAGGACGAAGTGGACTAAATTGCGGGCGAAATGGCCGACCTATGGCGATTCCAGCGAGCCGATGGCACCAACATGCTCGCTGTCAAGGCCGATACCTCCGTATCTAGATGGACGGGAAGTTCCATGCTTGGCAGACGGCGCTGGGTGCGTGATGAGGTGTCGCCTGGTCAGCTTCAGCAATACCTCGCGCCTGCAACGTGGCGGCCTTCCCAAGAGCCCTTGGATGGTCAGCAGGGTTCAAATCCCCCTCTCCAAGTCGATTGCAGCCGCCCATTACCTCGCGATTTGCGTTGGAACTCCATCGGGATCATATTTAGAACATGCCGGAATATCCATGACAGTTCCGGCTGACCAAGTGGTTGCTAAACGCATCGCTGATGGGTATGTTGATAGCAGTGATGAGGAATGGTAGGGGTTGGATGGGTCTGAGCCTAGGTCCGACAACGACTACTTCAGAAGAGAGTGAGGTTTCTCAATTGACATAATGTGTTCTAATATGTATTTCCTTCTTAATCGAAATTCAAGTTTCCATGAAGTCGCATAAGAGTCACGTGACCCACGCGTTGCCATCGACCCGATTAGGTCTGTTTTGATTCTCGACATCTCCATTCCCCGACAACTCAGCGCGACCCACCACCCACAATCTCCATGATTGTGCATTTACAATTTACAACCATCTCCTTAACCGTTGATTCCTAGTTTTATCTCCTCCACTTTCACCAACGGCGCGTTGTCTAGATCATGGCAGCAAGCGCGAGGGCGCAGAAGCCCGTCGGCTCAGCGCCATGGATTGCAGCAGAGAAGGAAAACATGGCCGAGCTAGTGGAGCAAGAAATGGAAGAAGTGGAATATCCTGTCCGACACGAAATGGACTGGTTAAATGAACATATGACCGAGATATTCTCCAAGGGCCAGGCGTGAGTTGCGACCGCATACTATGACCTGTGTCTGCTCAGCTAACAATCACACAGGAACTTCACGGACGTGTTCAAGACGCCCGGAAAGATGAGAGGCAAGACTCCTCGAACCGCTCGGAAGCGCATGCCCGAAGAGTCACGAGCGGTGAGTGTTATCCATATCGAATTGATTTCAACAGTCCCCGTCTAATGCCCCTGGCAGCCCTTGAGCGAAATCTTCTCCTCCGCCCAGAAACAATTGGAAAACCATGCAAGCCCGAGCCCATTCATTCATCGTGTTGTTTCCAAGCCCGGGCCCATGGCGGCATCGCCTGTGCCCCGCACCAAGATAGTGACGGAGCAAGCTTCGCAACCTGAATATCCCGATCTCACACAAAATTTGAACTCTTTTCCCACATACAACACTGACTCGGGCTATCATGGCATGCCCGATCATGAAATGGTACTGTCTGACGTGCAACAAGAATCACAGGCTTCTACTCAGCCTTCTACCCAGCCTTTTGAACAGGGGGAGCCCATGAATCTGGATACTCAGAAGGTCGACATCTCGGCCAGTCAACAAACGAATGAAGAATCCTTCCACTCTGCACGAGAAGAGATCCGTTCCCGCGGAGCGACCGTCGAGCCGATCAAGGACCCAACCCCAACCCAGGAAAGAACAGCGCGTCCGGCCGCATCGGTTCCCAAAGAATCTGAGACTGAAATCATGTCGACTCCGTCTAATGAAACAAAATCGAAGCCAGATTTCAAAATCCCGGAAAAGCAACCGAATGAGGAACCTGAACCAAAGGAGAGTGATCCGGCAGTCTCAAAACCTGAGCCATCCCGGGAAAAGGCCCTGGTAGATCCACCTATCGAGACGCAAGATTCTCACCCAGAGGACGAGGATATGGAAGATGCCACGAAAGACGACACAGTTCTCGATAATCTTGATGATATCGGCTCTCCTTCGGATGGTTCTACTCCAGAGCGACCATTCGCTCGGAAAAGCAGCTTGAGCTTTGCCACCCTCCCTGCACGGGAACCTTTGAAGACTCGAACAAGCCATATTGACCTGGCGAAAATGAGTACTGCCGGGCGTCCCAGTTACTTTGGCAGGCAGACTGGCGGCCATAGGATTCCGCAAGCTGCCGCAGACTCATTGGAAATTGACAATGAGAAAGAACCAAGTGAAGAAACAGACCCTGACGAAGCTACCAGGATGCACAGCAAAAAGTCCACCCAGTCCTTGCATGAAAGAATCAGCATGCTAGGCAAACTCCAGCCAACCAGACCTAGAAAGTCAATCCCATCCGCTTCTGCGCTACCAGCCGGTCAGGTTCCCTACCCAGACCTTCCAGCTTCCAAGGCTGAAACAAAGTCTGAAGCTTCGAACGAAAGGGCACATGAAGCCCCAGCTCCAGAGCCTATATCGGTGGACGATGACTGGATCAAGCCGCTGAGCTCTCCCCTAAAACCCGAGCTTTCCAAGAGCAAGACCACAGACGTCATGGAGAAGCTCGCTGAATTCGAGAAGGCACGTACAGTCAACAAGAAAGATGCATTGCAGACAGAGCCTGAACGTCCCAAATCATCTACCTCGATGTTCTCTTCACCCCGACCTCAAGGTCACCAACAAAGCGCTTCTTTTTCTCATACTCCTGTTGATGCGTCTACTACTCCAACAGGCTCGCCTAGACGCTTCGACGGTCATATCAGTGCTTCGAAGCTGAAACTGCACTCGATTATGAAATCTGCCAAGGGCTTATTCTCGAGCACTGGCAACACACCACGGATGGAACATTCATCGCCTGAGCAGGCGCGCATTCAGCCAAGTGCCGACACATTCACTAAGAATACCAAACATCTCTCTCAACCAGCCCCTATCATCAGTCCTCAACGTCCAGAAGGCCGCCGCACACGAAGCTCGACCGAGAAAGAAGAAAAACGGCGCCAGCATGAACGGGAAGAGCAGGAGCATGAGGATCAAGAAGAAGAAGCGCGTGTCGAGAGAGCTCGGGAACAAGAAAAGCAAAGAGCCCTCCAACTCAAAGCCGCTCAGGACAATTCCTCGGTCGAACCTGAAGAGAGGGCAGGTTCAGCAGTACACAAGGCCTCCCAATCACAGCGCCAGCAATCGCGGGAACCTGAATCAGCTCAGGAGTCTAGCTCGAGGTTTGCCGTCCCTCAACCGAAGCAAAATGACCGTCGTCCTCTCAAACCCACTCGCGAGCCCGTGAAACGTCCAACGCCACAACCCATGTCAATTCGTGTTGGCAGCACCATGTCTCGTCAACAAATCCCTGTCCCATCGTCTTCGGGTGCTCAGGAGTCGAGTGTGCCCGCAGCCGCCTCTGCCACTGTGTCGAGGCCAACTCTGAAGAAAAAGGGTAGCAACACATCCTTACATACAGCATCTTCTGCGAGCAGCTTTAAGAGCTCTGTTTCTAGTCAAACACAAGCCCAGCGCAAGGCTCAGGTCGCCAACGATCGCAAGAAGGAGCAAGAACGCGAGGCACGCCGGAAGGAAGAACAAAAGCGTGAGGTAGAACGCAAACGTGCTGCCGCCCAACAAGAAGAGGCCCGTCGGCAGGAGATGAGGAGTCGTGCTGAAGCTGAACGGGAGCGCCAGGCTGAGAGAGAGCGTCAGGCCGAAAGGGAGCGCCTGGCCGAGAGAGAGCGCCTGGCCGAAAGAGAGCGCCTGGCCGAACGGGAGCGCCGCGAACGGTCGGCCCAGGAAGATCCAAACAAAGCCGCCCGTATGGAGGCAATCAAGAAGCGACAAGCAGAGAATGCTCGGAAGCATGGGAGGCAAGGCAGCCAGCAGATAGTCAATGAGGTAAGCGCGTTATTTCAATCGGGATTTTTTTTCATACCGCTGACAGTCCCCAGGGGCCAATTCTACAGCATGAGCAGGCATATTCTCACTCTTCTCAGCGAAGTGACTTGGGTCCTTCCCGGCCTCCTTCTCGCTTGGGTAACTCAATTCAGCCATTTGGTGGCCGTAGCATCAACCCACCTGTGCCTAATCCCGCCAAACCACCGAAGAGAGGCAACGATGAAACCAGCCACCGGGCTGCTCCGTCTAAACCTAGTAATGTGCAATCAACTGGCGAATTTAAACGGCGAAAGACAGAGGATGATCACAACCCTATGCCACCTGTGCGCACGATGGCGCAGCCTATCCGCCAATCTAATATCAGAAAGGTTAGTAACATCGGATCCCATGTAATATCCTGACGAACAAATTATTGACTTCAGGAATCTATGAAGCCTTCTACCCTTGGTCGTGGACAGTCTTCCCTGGCACCCCAGTCGGGCTCTTCCAGCTACAGGAATGCTCAACCTCAGCGACCCGCTCACCCGATAGTCACATACACGAACGGCAAGATACCGTTTGCCGAACCAAACCATGCGCCTCCACCAAGCACACACAAGGCTGCGCCCAATTCCGCCCCGCGCCCACCCGCCAAGCTATCTCCCAAGTACCCCAGTGGTGAAAATATCCACTTGCCCGAGATCAATACTGATAGTGAAGATGATGACGATTCCGACTCCGAGATGTTCCCTGTTCCCAAGTGGGCACAGGCGAAGGAGCTGGAGGGCCTTCTCCGGCAGCAGGATGGTATGGAAGTTGACTCGATCTTCGGGCCAATTGCACCATTCTCTCTTGAAGACACCTTCAAGGCGGACAAGAAAGTCAAGAAATACCGTGACCGCACCAGCAGTGCGAACTGGTCCGGACCCGATGGACTCACTCAGGAGGAGATTCGGAAGGATCTTGCCGAACGACAGCGGTTGCGGCTCAATGGTGGTTGGAGCTTCAACAGCTAGTGATCAGCAGGATAACATCTTCTTTTCTTGGATTGTAAATTGGTCTGTAAATCGAGCGGCGGCCTTTTTTGGGGGAGTATTGATTTGGTGGCGGACATGGTTATGTCGGTGTCACGGGTGTATCATCTACCTTGTGGCGTTATCTTGTATTATTCTTGTGGTTACTTTATGGTCTTAGACAACAGCTGCATAGTTGCATCCATCGGTGCATAGGGTTAATGAATTGTTATTTTGGCCCATGGTGGATGTCTGGATGTCCCCTTGGTATTATGTTGAAGTTCATAACTAGTTATAGATAGTTATCAGAATTAGGGCTAATATCTGGTTTGGCTCATGTATTACAACTGGGCAGTCTCTTACATCACACCAGCATCATTGGTCTAGTGGTAGAATTCGTCGTTGCCATCGACGAGGCCCGTGTTCGATTCACGGATGATGCACTACAATTTCTTTTTTGTTCTTGCAACTTACTGCTAAGTTCTAGTTATATTTTGGGCTCTATCCCTCTTGAATTAAGACTTATTTGCTTTTGGCTTCTTTTAATCTATTCGATCTTGTTAGTCAATATAGTTGTTTTCCCTTGCCATACCATCCTGGTAGGATATATATACATGGACACTCCATTGTTTCTACCCAATCCATTTAGTATACAACGTGGTATTTATCTGCAAGCCAGAAAAAA